TCTTGGCTTTGGATTACTTTGTGAATACATATGAATGCCTGCCAATTTAGATCAGCTTGACAGAACTGACTTCCCACGAGACACCTTACCCTACCAGTTTAGCTATAGATATTTTTCTTTCTCCAAACTTGAATTCATGAATTGCATCACACTAATTATTAGATTAAAAATTACTGTTATTTGCTTTAACCTCAATCTCGCCGTTATCCCATCCACCAATAGTGACATTCGCTGCGGAAGTGAAAGGTATCCCCGAAGTGGAGGCTCCAAGAATGCCCACCATCTGTCCGATGCGGGGAATGGCACCCGGCTGCTTGCGACAGCGCCGAAAGATCAAACAATCAGCATCTAAAGTATATCATCAGTGGAAAGGTAAAAAGTGTAAAACGCCATTTTTTGGTTTGGATTTATTGTTTTGAATCAAACTGTCCATGTTTTCATTTGGTGCATCAGAAAACCGAATAATTCGCTACTTACTATTAGCTTGTTGCTATTTCTTTATAATTCACTTCTGTGTACAGGTACCTTAAATGACGTTTTAAACTTTTGGCATTTCTTCTGAGGATATATTTATTTATTACATAACTCTATGCACTCACAGTTTCCCAAAACGTACATATAATCTATGTACGTATCTATGTATGAACTACCAAAAAAGGGAATTAAAAATACAAAAACACATCACTCAACAAATAAATTTTAGATTATTATTCGATTAATACAAACATAAACTTCCATGTAAAGCTTCATTTCGTTTCCAGTGTTATCAAATAAATGTATATCTTGGTGATCAAATCAGGGCAAGTCAACGATAACGCCCTAAGAGCAGAGGCGTGTTGTGAAGCATTACAGCGTGCAGCGCCTATCGCAAGAACAGGCTGCTGTCGAAGGCACAGTATTCGTCGGGTACATACAACGTGCAACGCACTAACTTGTTTAGATTGTCAATTTAATCATGATTGATGACAATGATGACATTAAAGAGTCGAAGTAATAGCGCCACCTTTCGTCTCAACTCTTAAAGTGTCCAGTTGAAACAAAAATAGTCTCGAAAGCATCTCGAGACTAGACTCACAAATGTATATGATGGGTCTGAGAGCACTTTCGGAGACAAGTCGTAACTTGTCGCCGAGACTGCATGTGTCGTAAGTGGACATGTTCATTCATGCACTCGAGATTTAGTCTCCAGTCTTCCGTCAATACCAGAAGAGCTAAAGCACTCTCAGCGTGTGTTTACTTAGCGTGTTTTGACTTTTTAACCGACTTAAAAAAAAAGGAGGAGGTTTTCAATTCGACTCTGTATTTTTTTTGTATATATGTTACGCGATAACTCTAACTTGTGAACCGATTTTGATGATTCTTTTTTTGTTGGAAAGAGGACACCTCAGATGTGGTATTTTCTAAATGGACACCATTTAGAAAATATTCCACTCTAAGGGTGGCAAACTAGGGGAGGAATGACTTTTGAGGTCGGTTTTTTTGTAATCTCTACTGAGATTATTTCAAAGTTGTTACATTATTTTCTTGTGTTTAATTTTGTATCGTGCTTGACAATGTGATGTTTTTTCTAAGTCTAAAAGCAGCTCAAACTCCACTATAGACATCCGAATAAAATTTTTAAACTGCTGTGCATTGAATCGGCTCCCAAGTCAATTCGACGATCCACCCATTTCCTTATTACCCAACACTTCTTTTTTTTCCTATGTTTTAGCACACTCTATTAAAAAAGCTATGACCTTAACGCGAATTAATTTCAAATGCGTGCGATCAAGCCACACAATAGACTGCGTATTGACTCTCTAGTGGACACGGAATTGTCTTGGTCTCGAGGCTCAAGTCATCTCGAATAGACAACACCATGAGACCAATCTCGCGATTTTCTCTCGAGGTTTTATCTCAAGTAGACACTTAGCATAAGGTATCTAAACCTATCATTCCCGACACTTACAATAAGGGAAACAAGTAAGGGTTAGTACCCATGAAGCTTTTTATAGAATATATAAGCTTTGATGGTTTTAAGTTCATCTTTGGTGGTTGTAACGATACTTACCTCAACTTCAACGCTATCCCAGCCTCCAACAGTGACGTTAGCTGTAGAAGCGAGAGCAATTCCTGAAGTAGATGTTCCCGGTATGCCGACCATTTGACCGACACCAGGTATGACGCCCGGCTGCTTGCGCCCTCGACGAGATATGGTGTAGTGCAAAGGGTCATGACCCTCGCGCCGAATCATCTCTGGTAAGATGCGCCGGCGCGCGTTTATGAACCAGTTGCATACCTAAATAATTTAAGACTGAATTTTATAAAACGGGCTTGACTAAACAAAAATGGCGGTATAAGATTCGCATTTACAAAATGAACTTGGCTGAAGCAATTAAACTTTTGAGTTTAGTTCGTAAACTTACGAGTGTTCCGAAGTTTTTACAACTCCAAAGGAGGACCTGTGAGGGTGGATCTAATTTGTAAAGTTATTGTGGACACCTAACCGAAGAAACCGACAAGCAAATCTCTTTTCTGCGACTTACGAGTCACGACTCCACAAAAAAGTCGTTGTAAATTAGTTTTTGCAAAAGTTAAAATAAAAAAACAAAAAACTTCGACGGTATTTATTAGATAAATTCACATAGCGTAGCGCATTCATGACACAGTTATGCCAATACATCACCTGTGCATTAGGGGCGTAATTATACTTTATTTTTTTTTAATTTCATTTATTTCATTTCAACATAACATAACATAACATAATGTTGTATATTTTCTAGTGGCAGGAGTCTCATTTTAAGCATATAATGCCTGTGCCAGGAAACTCCGCTCTTCCATTACAATTTAATTTACGTTAGGATCAAGGTTAAAGTTAATAAATACAGTACTTAAAAAACAAGATTTCACATCACTTTTTACAAATCACATTTACATTTTAAGTGTGTATAACCTCTATATCGCATTAATAATACAATAGTGCATTAACTCAAAAAATGGAGTTTTTTTTTTTTTTCAAATATATGTAAATAGATGTTTTATTATTAGATATCGAACTAATTTCATACTTGCCAAATACATTTAATTTACTACATTAATTATACAACAAACATAATAATTATTTTTTGTTAATGGTATTTAAAAATATTTATTGATCTTTCAAAATAATAATGTAGTATTAGAATAGTTTTAATTGAGATCTAAGAATTGTCTTCTTGTAGAAATTGAATTTTGTTTCATATATTGTTTTTAGAGGTTTTATTTGTTGTAAAAATGTTTATAAATAATCATCAAAATAGGTAATTGAAATGTTGCCCTCTGTATGTAGTTTACTCTTTTATTTACCGTAGTTTTCCCTAGTACCATCATAAATATAAATATACCTAGTATATTACTATATACATTTCTTACTGGTAGTTATCTATTATCTTGCATTTTTTTAAAAGTAAAATTGATTATTGAACAAACTGGTTCATAAGAGACGGACTCGTGTAAGCACAGTGGTTGGCGTTTGCTAAGAAATTTTTGCTTCGGGTCCCTACCATTTAATTCCTTACTGTAGTTACTACGGAGAACACAAAAGAACATTTGCCATGGAACTATCAACGTAGTAAAAAGTAAATGGAACGCATAAAATATAGCCCCTGTACCATCAATGGAACTGTCTAATGGTACTACGGTAAAGAAAGGATTTTGCTGGGCCTAACAGGGTCCCATAGCTCTGATTTAAGCGTGTCCACCTGCTACATTGTATACATTTTGGGAATGCAATAAGTATTGAATACTTACGTGGTTAGTTCTTGCAGTGATAATGAAACGACAGATGCGCACCTGTAAAACAGTCAAGTTGGCTTCTTGACTGAGAGCGAGTTTCTCGGCGTCGCTTGGGTAAGCATTGTACCGATGATCGTAAAGCCAACGCTTGAGGATTTTAACAGAGTGCTTGGGCAAGTTGCCGCGTCGCTTACGCACGGACCCCACGACGATGCCCTGCGGGTTTGCAAACTACGAATTTACTATTCAGATGCACAACAAGGGTCATACAACTTCTTGAAAGTTGTGCATGTTTATTTATTATGTAGTTTATTTTTTAACCGACTTCAAAAAAGAAGGAGTTTCTCAATTCGATTTATGTTTTTTTTTGTATGTATGGAAAGAGGGTGCCTCAGATAGATAGATAAACACTATATTGCTCACACACAAGAACAAGAATAGTACATAAACAACTTAAAACTAATGTGGGCAAAGGCGGTCTTATCGCCATCTCTTCCAGACAACATTTGAGGTAGAGAAAAGTTAATCGGAGCGGAAGACGTTGTGTGCCAATTTTACAAACAAAAAAAAAATTAATGTGAAAAAAAATACAAAATAAATACAATAAAACACAGTAATTTATCAAATATTTAATAAATAACGATATATTATACCTACATAAATACATGTATATTTAACCCGTCACACGTCTTAGAGATACGCGGTGTCCCTAACGATTTTGACACTGTAGCGTTCTAGTGCCACGTGGTGTCTCTAACGCGCAGCTGTGTTTTCACTCACAATTTTTTTTTAAATATATTAAGATTGAGTAACGCGTGAATACCATGATATTCAATCATTCTCTCACAGATGGCGCTACGACAAAAAGTCGTTAAAAACCGAAACCAAAGGTCTACAACTAGCAATAATCATACAAAAAGATTTAAATAATAATATTTATTATATATCGAGTTGTTAGGTTTTCGCGATTGGTTTACATAGGAAATGAAACTATTTTTCCGGATTTAAATCGCGTATATTTGTCTTTTCAAATAAACATTAATAATAGACATAACTGGTTGATGACTGTACCACCTCAGTCAACCGTGACCATGGGACCTGTAAAGGGCCCGAAACGTCAGTTTGTTTGAAAAAACAAATATACGCGATTTAAATCCGGAATAATAGTTTCATTTCCTAATATTTATTATAATTAAATACAAACATCGAAACACTAAGAAAAATTCCTTCGATCCAGCTGGATTCGAACCAGCACCTTCCAGCAATCCGTGCTAAATATTCTGCCGAATAAGCCACGGGACGAAACAGTAGACCTTAGGATTTTTATAAGTGCTCGTTGCAGATCTTTGTTCTTGGTTTTTCGCGACTTTTTTACCGTAGCGCCATCTACGTGAAATCTATGAACGTTTTTCTTCACTCAGCCAGGTCTCTACTCGCGGCCGACTAGAGATGGCGCTATAATAATTGTACCTTTTAGTTTATTGAATGTCACGATGTTTTACTGCCATGATATTCAATCCTAACACATAACACATATTTTTTTTACAAAATCGTTAGGGACACCGCGTGTTCTCATGGGACTCGTGACAAATTAAAGTTCTGTGTGGCACTGCAACTGTTATGGACTGGCGAGTCGTTCACCACTGACGCACGACTTGTCGCTTGCCTTGCGCAAGGCGTGTCGCATACGGAGCATGTTGGACTGGGCTGCGTCCTCCGTGTCTCAGTTTGTGCCACTCAATGGGTTACCGATTTTTTTATATAAGCCATAGGTTGCTTTTTACCTGTGGTGGCGGAGGATGTCGCATGTGGAGCATGCTGGCGCGGGCTGCGGCCTCCGTGTCCCAATCTGTGCCGCTCTCATTTTCGTCTGTGGACGACGTGGACGGAAAGCGGTCTCGCGCTGCGAACATTTGCTGCTGGGCTTCAAATGAATACCAGCAGTGGTGCTTTGAAAGAAAACTAGCCGAAAACAATTAGAATACTGAACTTTGTAGATGAACGACACTAATCGATTTGTAATTAGATAAAGACGATATTTCGATACCTCCAATGGATTTTCTGTTATTTTTGTAAACAGCCATGTTTATTTATTAGTAACAAGTTTCACAAAATCCCTGGTTTTGTGAAAAAGAAAAAAAAACAAAAACGAATTTTGTGAGAAAAAAGAAACAAAAACAAAATAAAAACAGAACAGCTCCAAAAATTAAGTTGACATTGGAGGTATCGATTTAATACACGAATTTTACATGCAAACTTAGGTTCTTTTGTAGATCTTACTTGCCCTGCTGTAAGAACTAAGTGAGCCTACATAAAATTATTTATTTTTTTACAAATAGAAATAATTTGTCATTGGCGAAATCATCGACATTGTCAAACTATTATACCTCCCACTTCATCAGTAGCACAGGTCTGCTTTAAGCACAATAGCCTGGTCTCTCTCACGTGACTACACACGTTTTCCAACGGCTGTTAACCTTTTTCAACATAAACACTATATTTTCCTTCCACGTTAACGAGAGGTATGGTTAAAGAAATATTATTTGCGCCGATGAATGTTATCTCCAGGAACGGCTTATCCTTTCTATTACAATAGGGTAATTTTATTTTAAAGCGATTCAATGATCTTCGTACATCGTACCAGTCATGGGTGCACTAATACTTTTTCTGAATAACTAATTTTCAAATTACTTCTTCACTCAACAGGTTTTTTTTAACAGTAGGTACTTCGTAAAATATTACAGACTGCCAACACTTTTCTTGCTTATTCAACAAGTAATTTACGCATAAAGATTATCGAATTAAGTGCCAATGCGTAAAAGTGCTTAAACTAGTTGTTTCCACTACATAGATCAGACGTACGTTACCGAGACGGTCCACTCTTTTGTCCTATTGTACTTACTTTATATATACTATATTTCGCCAACTATAAGTACGTAACTTACGAGTTAAAGGCATAGGTATTTGCTGCCACGGGGATTCGAGCCGTAGACCTCGCAATTGAAAAGCAAACATTCTCCCACTCACCTACCACCACTTTTCTATGTTGCCAAGTACAGCGGACAACAATGTTTAAAACCACGTGACTGTATTTGAAAGTGTACTAGTTATTACCCATTTTAGTACCTTAAGGTTTGATACAATAAATCTAAATGTGAGTCAAGCTAGAATGTATCTATTTCAAACCTAACACAAATAGGAGTTCATGAACAGGTAGGTACTTGTAATAAGGCATTTCAAAAAAACCATAACGTTGTATGAAAGTACATTTTTGATTTTGTGCGAAAGTAGTGATTTGCAATAATTCAATAATAGCTCAAAGACTGCAAGGACCAAAACCAATATTTAAGATATCTGAATTGAAAGTTTCTCGTACCCGAGAGTGTTGTACTCGAGGTAAAAACATAGAATTTCGAAGATACTTACGTAATTTGATCTTCATCACTTTTATCACCGACCTGCGCAGCGTGGCGATGTTCCCGAGGGTCTGGACAGAGGCCTGCTTCCCGCCCAAACTTGACGGTATTGACATAAACTTTTCAATCTATCAATTAAAATTCTGATTACATCAATTGCGATTACATAATTCTCGTAACTACCGCAAAAATAAGTAAAATTGTACTGATTACAAAAGTTTTTGAGAAACGATCCTATAGGAAAGGCGGCAGGCTTTGAAATGAACGGTTTTTTGTTTTGAAAATCGATGCGCATTTTGTGACAATTGACAACGACGTACACTGTCGCTTGTCACTTGTCACGGTGAAAATTTTGAAATTTGAAATAATTTCTTTTTTGTTAACAGCCAGTCGGGCTTTATTTTGAAAATCAATGCAATCTTTTTTCAATAAGATTTAATTTAAAAATGTGATTTAATTACTAAAACAAGTTGTTCGTCTACTATCTTTTTACATCTAAAAATGGAAAAACGGTGAAGTATTTTTACCCGATTACTACTAATCGAGACACAATAACATAGATATTTATCAATTTAGCAGATCAATTTGGAGAAATAATGAATGATCCTAAATGTCAAAAACTATATAAACATGGCTTGATTACTAAGAGCGATTACACACGGCGAACTTTAGCAGTGATATACGCAGCAGTTTAGCAGTGATTGCGTCTTATGTTGAATTATTATACCGGCTCCACGCGCTTGCCAAGCCATGGCAACATCCGTTCACGTGTCGGTTTTTGTGCACAAATCAAAGGAAGCTTCGGGCAAGCATTTGCCATTAGGTATCCACACGTTTGTGGTACCTACTTATTAATTTGTGGTAGTATTCAAGATATTTGCTATTTAAGCTGTGAGTGGCACTGCAACTGTTATGGATGGACATGTCGCTTACCAACAGGCGCACGACTTGTTCGTCTCGTCACTTGGTATTATAAAAAAAAGTTAGTATTATTTGAGAACTGTCGACAGATAGACGTTTCCTTTCTGCTACTTTGGGTTGATGGATATAACTAAATTTTTAAATAACGTTTAAAAAAAAGATGACGTTGTACTGTGTTTATAGACATGGATGTAAGGTTTTAAACTTTTGCCTTTTCGTTAACGAAAAGAATATTAAAACAGAGAGTGATATCTTTCCGTGGTTATAAACTTGTAAAATGGGTGGTCAAACGAGACTGTTTTATTGTCTCTGGAATGCTACCAAGCAGAACTCTACATTTAGAATCCGAAGCATAAGGACCATAAAGACAAAAAAAAACTGCTACATTTTTGTCTTTTTCTTTTTATCTTGCGTCTTTTTGTAAATAAAAATAGGTCAAGCCGACCGTAATAACACATACAAATTCGATGTCCGCCATGCTTGCCTCTTTGGAGCACACTAAGCGCACTCGCAAGCGTGTGGATGCCGACGTTTGTCTCGCCTAATTTGCCAAGCGTTTGTTGACGTTTGGAGCTTACGGCAATTGACAAGCGTGTGGAGCCGGCATTAAAAACGTGGATCGCATTTTGTATCGCACTGCTAAAAGTGACCGTGTGGAACCGCTCTAATAAATACTGTCACGATAAACTACGTGCGACTACAGAATCACCATTGTTGTATGTTTTTCTACATAATTAGACGTAAACGGCAGCGTCACATTAAGCCGGAATCCTACGCAACATTCCCTACAAAACAAAATTCTGTAACTCGTGGAGATAATTTTTTTCCCTCTATGGTACTTGGTCAAGAGCAAAATTCTACACTTAGTATTATAGCCACAAGTGATCACACGTCAAAGTGAAAGATTTTATACTTAAAATCGACTAGCGACTCCTCCAAAACAGAAACTGTCATGTATTATTCTATCGTTTTATCATTTTTCAACAAAGACACCTCATTCATTACCAGAGAAATGAATGCGACAGGTCGTAACAGGTTATGCGTGAAATGCACAGATCTTACGCCGAATATTCAGCGCTTCAACCGAGAGCGTGGCCGAATATTCGGTATTCGGCAAAATCACTATTCGTGGCATCTCTAAAAATTTGCAGGAAACAAATTTGTTGCCGTCCTATGTCGAGCCTGAGCCGCGTTCATACAAACAGATGCGAAACGCACGCCGTTTTCGCTCTTACGTTAATGGACATAGAAGCTTTTTCTGACCGGCTTAATGCGTTTCTGCGTTTATAAATGTCGTAACTCCACATGTGAAACAAATTAATGATAATAATGTGCCAGACAACCACACCTGTCTGCCTGGTCTCAAATAGATAATTTGTAAGTACTAGAGTCAACGGAATTCACTCTGGGGCACAAACCAATTTAGAAAAGTTAATTTCCCAATTTGGTCCTACCGGGAATCGAACCCGGGACCTCCTCATCCAACGCCCACAGTATAAATCGTCAAATTATGTATGAAACGAAATTTTATGACATTTCAGTCCAGAAAAATAGTTTGACGCGCGAGCGTTTGACGACGGATTCAGACGGTATTACGAAGCGGCCGAGCTGCGCCTAGCTTACCGTCATTAGAAGAAATGAAATGAAAGCCCAATGCACTTTGTACATCCAATCCTTTACAATAGAATGACTCATAGTATGTTTGCAACTACTGAGCCGACTCAGGAACCGATTCCTGAGGTAGCTGCGCGGTGCGGGAGGAGTGACAGTTTACGTAACAGCTATGTCGCGTTGCACGCGGGATAATTTCAGCAAGATTTTCTGACGATATTTAATACCAAGTTAATTGAAAAAAGTGCCTACAAAATTAGTCAATTGCAGTTATTTGAAACAGTAATTAAAAAAAACAGTAATTAAAAAAAACTATTTCATAGATAATTGAAATGAACAGACAAGCCACTTGGCACTTTTTTTAATCAACAAAATTGTGAAAATGGTGCAAAATCGACCTTGGCCCAAGATTTATTATATCCAACTCTATGCCGCCTACGTTAAAAACAATCCAAAACAGTATCAAACTTAATGTGCTATTAACAAGACCATGTTTCAAATACAAGTGTTACTGAAATAGAATTTAGATAAAGGACTAGTAGCTAACCGTTGTGAGGAATATTTCAAAATAAAAACAAAAAGTAACAATTATAAGATGTAATAGCAACAGTAACATTGTAATAACAAAAATCAAAACACATACAAGTTAAAACTACAAAATATCAATCTGTCACGGTTCATCTTCCTTCATTACTACCTCCGGCACATCCCCGACCGGGGGTTCATCAACGGGGGCTATGGGAGTTGAGAAGCTAGCGGCTACGGAGCTCACAGTCATGGGACAAGTCGTAGAGATAACTACAGCTGGGGCTGACGAAGCGGTGGGGGGCTCAGCGGATTCTAGTTTCTTGCCCATCTCAATAGTGTCTGATAGGATTTCTTTTAGAGTCGACGCAAGCGTATTTGGATTCTTGCTACTATCCAGCTGAAAAATAAAATTGCTGTTAATCTATCTGTTACGTTATTGGTAGAATATATGATAATCTCAGTACAGAGTACTAAAAAAACCGACCTCAAAAGTACGTGGAATTACGTCTATTTGCTAAGTTTTATTGAAATATCCCCTAGTTCGCCACTATACAGGACTTGACACTGGAGATAATATAAATCGGTTCTCACTACTCAAAGTATATTGAGAGAAAAACGCCTTGAATTGGAGAAATAGCAAAATCAACCATTAAAGTAATTGCTCCTAAATTAAAGTTAGGCGCTATTTATAAAAATGAATCTTCATGCGTGAGCAGCCACCCTTCGAGGTGGATGATTTTCTTCAAAATGAAATGGGACCACTATTGAAGTACCCCCTTTCCAACAAAAAAAGAATCATGATAATCGGTTCACAAATACCGGAGTTATCGCGTAACATACATACAAAAAAAAGAACATACAGTCGAATTGAGAACCTCCTCCTTTTTTGAAGTCGGTTAAAAAACGATTTCTAAAGTGGAATAGCATTACGACGAACAATAGGTCGAGCTGTACGGTGATAAAATTTGTCCACTTTTGGGCTGCCTTTCTTCCACCAGAGATCTGCGAGGTAGAAAGGATGTGTAGCGAGGCTGTGAAACAGTGTGATGTTTTCCATCAAAGCTGTGCGAGGCAGCTAGTTGGTGAGAGGATGTGCAGTGGCGCGGTGCGAGGATGCGTTAGGAACTCTTTTCAGCTATGCGCGGGAGGGGTACTGTGTGGTGGGGTGAGCGGTAGCGATGTGTCAGTGTCAGTATCATACTTTCAGTAGCTCTAGTTACCTACACCGTTTTGCACACATTCCGCGTTGGGATCCCTCGCACAAATCTCGCTATTTTGTATGTAAAAATACTTAGTTCCGCTAACCATTTTTCACAAGAGCTGCGCTAAGCGAGGCTAGGAAAATGCAGTAATCCTATTGATGGATTTTTTCCACGACTGCCTCGCTACGTCGCACATCTCTGGTGGAAAGGCGGCCGAAGGCTCTGATTAGTCGATAAATTCGTGCCCTTGCTATAATTATAATAAAGTCACATGGGATCTCACGTCAAAAATGCCTTTATCTCAGTCATAAAAAAAAAAATTCGCTCTGGACCTTTTGGAGGGAAGTGTCGTTTTTATTTTGACTTTCAATTATTTTGTGAAATCTAGTTTAAAGTGGAATAGGATAGTGCTATTGTGCCTTAATCGAAGATAAAAACGCGAAATTATACGAATCTCGAACTAAAATACCCGTATCGGCCCGTTTTAAGGAATCCCGAGTCAATCCAAGCACGCCGCTTCAAATTGCCTATCCTCTTTGTGGCGGCTATATTTACAGAAACATATTTAAACTTCATGTTTAGGCTGATGGCTTTGCCAAAGCGTTAATAAAAAAAAAACATAAAAAAAAAACAAAAATCTCATAAAAGTCGTAGAAACAAATTACGTTTATTGCATACCTGGCGAAACGGTGACTTAACTTACATTTGCAAAACGTACGGAAAATGAATTAAAAGTGTACGGAAAATGAAATTACGTCCTTTAAAAAAAATGCAATGCATAAAAGTCTCTGTTTTTCCGCATAAACTGCATTACAAAAAAAACTGACCTCAAAAGTTCGTGGAATTACTTCTATTTGTCAAATCTCATTGAAATCGGTTACCGGAAAGTGCATGAAATCCTAGTTTGTCACCCATAAAGATGGAATATTTTCTTTAAATTAAAATGGGACTTATCCCTCTTACCAACAAAAAAAGAATTATCGAAATCGGTCCACAAACGCCGGAATAATCGCGCAACATAAAAAAAACAGTCGAAACGAGAACCCCTCCTTTTTTTGAACTAGGTTAAAAATAGTTTAGTATCACATTTACTGGAGGTTCGTGACCATGTGAAAATTAATGGCCAATTTCGTTCGGAGAATCTTTAGATCTTTTTCCTGAAACTCATTTTGCAGACGAGGCCCTATTACACCAAGGCTACGTAATTGTAGCCATGAAATAGATGAATAAAGCAATTAAGCACCATATTAAATATTCAGTTTTTAAATGATCTTGTAGTCATTTATTGTAGATGTTCGTGTGTGCGTGTACATGTCACGCTAGCAGAAGTACACACATGTCATTAGGTAACGTTATGGCGTTTTAAGCAATTTTTTCTAGAAATAAATCAATATTACCTACTTGAACGTGTGGTATGCTTTTCTAATGCTCTTTCGTTCTCATGTGCCAGGTTATCCACAATTCATAAATAATGACGTAGAATACTTTCTATTGGGCTCTATTCAATGGCTGTTGCTTCGCCCTATGTAGATGTATGCACAACTTGTATACAGGTGTCCATCCAGTAATACACAGAAAAGTGCAGAAATTCGGTACAAAGTAAAACTCACTGTGACGACTTGGGCTCCAAACCTCTTATGCACATTCTTGACTTTATAAGCGGCCTCCTTGACTATCTGCCTCGCAGCATTGATCTCTGACTCTGGTCGACCCAGCTCCGACAGACGACTCTGCAGTCGTGATGCTGCTAGCTGTGAATAATTGATTCATAGAACAATGGCACATTGATTGCGTACTGGCTAAGAGAATCGTAAAACATATAAGAAGCCATAGGGTTTCAGGTTAGTTATGAATATCTGCTATGCATTTCAATTTCTGATCGAATTTCGATCGAGGAAAACCTTAATCAACCCACTTACATCCTGGGCACGGATCTCAAAAAAGGGTTTTGACCATTGTATGCCGCGGAAATTCGCTGGATGCAAGTAGCGCAAGACCCTATGTCTATATCCAGAAGTGGAAGTTTTTCCGCTAAAATATTGATGGTGATGATTATGACAATACCACGCTAGAAGTGTGCAAGTCCCCCCTGTGGAAAAATAACAATACCAAACCAGCAAGCCATTCCTGTCATTCGGGACAGAAATGAACGATCAACGAAGCCACGCTATAACACTGCACACTGCCGTTGTTGTAGTTCTACACCTGCTGTGAACCACAATCCGGATTTATGACACAGTAGAAACTACATCTTTATATTCGTGACAGAAACGTAAGATCAGGTACCTACCTCATCATCAACCTCTAGAGCTACGATCTTCTCAGGCCATTTAACTTGGTGGTTGAACATATTCGACATTTTCGAGTTCCTGGGGAAGCCGACCAGGATGAAACCTTTGGCATCCTGTTGCATCAACATTGCTTCTTTTATCAAATCCACTGTTAATTGCTGAAAGAGATAATTTACTTTTAGTGTTGTGGCCAACTTCCACATCCAATATATTAACCGGTTGTATTGCAGAATCACGAATTAATCTTAATGGACTTACTTATTCGGCCCAAGCTAACACTTCTAAATCTAAAACTCGCATTAAGTACAGTAATGCGAGAAAGTGTGTTGCCGTGATGGTTGAAGATCTTCACTCAACTTATATCAAAGACACCCTTGAGTTTCCAATGTCGGAACACGTCCCGGAGTTTCGTGCGACTTGGCCAGGCTCTCAAGGGACATTGCATCTTTTTTTATGATATCTAGTGACGGAACGAGCAAGTATGCAAGTCGTAGGTATGCATGGCAGTAAGCGACACGTCTACTCATAACAGTTGAAGTGCCATACAGAGCATAACCTACGGCCCTCCTAGTCATAAACAATGCATTTTCATTAACTTTCGAGATATGGGCACCTAAAGTTTTTTCTTTAAAAAATGTCAATTACCTACGCTTAACAATAAAACTGAAACTAAATAAGACATAAAAAAGGGTTAAAGGGGGGGTTGTAGATCTGGTTTTGCTGATTCCAGATATGATAATAACACTATTTCGGTAAAAATGTTTCCTGATCAGGACGGCAGTTTCATCGAAAACATTCATCCTTATAAACCCACGTGCCCGTAATTTCATCAGCATCCTTCAAAATTGAAACGCAATAACGTTTACATTATTGCGGTAGAAATTCCCTGCACGAACCCTGACGCAAGAAGCAACCCTCGTTCTACTGAAAATTAGCTTAAATAAGCACATGTCCAACCTCAAGCTAAGAGAGGGCACTTACTGTAGATTCTGCCTTGAAGTTGATGAGACTCCTCTACATGTTCTCAACCAATGCTGCCCCATTTTGGGTTGCAATTGTTCCACATGGGACTGAGTACGTGAAACTACTGGGAATAAACGCCTTTAACGAGCACATAACACTCGCTACTGAGCAAGCACATGCCTTAACCCAGAAGAGATTAAAACAGTCGAAGCCAGGAAAATCGTTCAGTCTTTAAATACTGCTAGCCTTACCTCCAAGTTTTAATTAATGGTGACTACAATAAATCAATTATTGGTCGCTGTAATGATCTTCTGTATGGAGTCAACCTTATAATAATAATAATGCCCAAAACAATGTCCTGCCTTACCTCAGGAAGTTCTTCCTGAGCCTGTATTGTGTCCGCTATGAGACGTCCTCTTGTAGTATCCTTATCTGCTTCCTGGCGAAGCAACTCGCCAGGTTTGATCATTGCATATCCTGTGATATTGGAGATTGTCTGAGCAACTGTCTGGTTGCCAGCGCCCGGAACACCGTTCACGAAGATCACAGGCAAATGTCGGATTGGAGACATGTCGTATACCGTTGTTTCCTGCGTTACAATTGGGAAGCTTATTGCTCTTAAGACAGGGTTTTAAATCTACTTGAATAAATAAATTGCAAGAAGACAAAAAATTGAATAATTTTTGAAATTCTTAGTTTGTGAATCATTAGGTGATTAATTTAACAATTACTTTTAAATGATTCGGAGTGTGACTTTGAGCGCAATTATTAAATAATTTATCTGATATCTTACATAAATTTTCCACCCCCCCTCTTGGAGTAGTTCACTTACGTGGTCAATGTTGGAATGAACATTTAAAATAGGTACTTACGATAGAGATGTATGGCATTGAAGGAAGACCAATTTTCTGCGTGGAGTTTAGAGCTAACTAAAAAAAAATTAAGTACTTCTACTGTTCTGATTTATCCTTGCCACATAACCTAACAATTTAAACAACAAAAATAATGGAGGAGATAAGACACTGATGCCGATAGGTAATTGGTTCACAATGATATTTTTATACTTTAATTATTCCCTGAAGTTCCTATGGAATACGTGGCCTAGTCTCTTGTCATTCTATGTCAGCTGTTGTTAGTATTCAATATACATCCAATGTCTTCAAGTACTTAATCGCTTTTTAACCACCCAGCATCATGTTTTAAATTTTACATGTTTTTTAATTAAGTCTGTTCACGCATTTATGAAACAAATTCGTAAGGATTTCCATACAATACCCCTGCTTTGGCAATTACAGTGGAAGAAGGCGCACTAACACTTTGTTTACACTAAAGAGATGTGGTTACAGAAAAGTCCGTACTTACATCATCGTATCTCCTAGAATAAAAACAACCCATGGTAATTACAAAACACTCTCTGTGTGTTTAACAATTACTGTTCTAATTATTTTTTCTCAATAAAGTTTGTTAAAGTAAAATGACATGTCTGAATAATTGACAATAGTTTGAATGAATATGCGTCTAGATTTTTCACGGAGTTTCGAATTGATAAATGTCAGATATTTTCGGCCAGCCTAAGATATCAGGGAGTCTCATTCCCATATTCTTAAGTATCCGGCTCAACGATCTTATAATCATTGGTCCGGCTCCACCTTATCTGCTCTATTTTTCTCCATCTTCTAAGCGAGTTTTCGCACTGCATCCGATTCGTATTTGTTCCAAATCCGAGGTTATACAAACTCGGACCCACTTTGGATGTCGCTTGTGAATCCGAATAAACACGAATATCGCTTGTACACCTGGAGTAAAATGATCCCTGTGACATTTTGGTTCGTCATTTCTAGGATTCGGAACTGCAGAACGTCGAGCACAAATGCTCTAAGGGTTCGTAATAAGTACGGAAACCTACTTTTCAAATAGTCTTCAATGAGACTAAAACCTGGCGAAACATGACCTAAACTTTTCCCTAAAGGAGACCTCGGCGTAGCAGTAACTCGTTTAAACTGACTAAAGAAGTAAGGCAACGATTAATAGACGGTCTAGGTGCAGGGATGGGCAAACTTTTTCCTTCGCGTGCCAATATTTAGGTACTAACGGAATCTAAGGAGGGCCAGATTCATTGACTTACAAATAAAGATTGTTAAAATGTTAAGTTGTTTTTTATTAAAATATAACGCGTCTATGTATTTTTTGAATCACTAATTTATTATGCAACACTATTAAAATAACTATTGAATTAGGAAAGAAATTTATGTTTGCTTCGACGTTCCAGGTTCGGCGGCTAGGGTCATTTTAGGGATAATTATATGATATCTGGAACTGTTTTTGATCTGCATGACTTCGTCATAGGCCGGCTCAATTTGCCGATACTTTTATTCTTTTGATGGTCGCGGGCCGGATTTCAACCGTACGCGTCAGACCTTAAATAAGATACAGAGAGATTAGAGGCAGATTATTATAATTAAACACATTCATTTATAATTTGAAGAAATCTTCTACTCCGGCCTACTTAGCTAAAAAATTAAATTGGTATCCTTCTTTACAGATATCACCACGTCCAGGACTAGTTTATTGCAGTAGTTTCAAATTTGCGGCATCTAAGGGTCGTATTCCAGAACTCTACTCAATGCTCAAAGCAGGACTTGAGTATTGCAGTAAGCACTGAAAATCATACTCAAGTCCTTGTCATTAGGGTCGTATTTCCAGTGCTTGAAATCATACTCAAGTCTGCTTAAATCTTGACTTGAGCATTGAGTACACTTCTGGAATACGACCCTAAGTGTTGGAATGATTTGCTTCCTACTTATTTGAATTTAGTGGCACTTAAAGCTGTCTTGCACTTTCAAAAAGAAATACAAACGTTGGTTACTTTCAAAGCAAGCGACGATCGGAAAGTAATTGGATGTAGTTTCGTCGACCAGCGAACTTATACAGTTTTTATTCATTATTATTATTTTAATCATATGTGTGCTGTTCTCAAAAAAATCTGAAAAACAACTCAAGCTGAGACTTACCGTTTTATCTACTTCTTACTTTTAGAAACTTTAAGGTTAAATTGTTATTTTAATGTATAGACTACTGCGAATGGTTGTCAATGTTGATGACTCATAATAACGCAGTAAATGTTCCTGTGACATAACGTCATAACAATGATTTATTCCACGGTACAGAAAATGGTTTCCACGATGACCTAGTTTAAAGCAAAGGCCAAAATAATCATCATGTCTCCTACATAACAATGAAACCTTTGCTGTCATTGATTATCACATCACATGAGTTATTGCATAAAAAATAATAGTAGATATTTTATCAGTGCTCTCCTTCATTCTCTTTAGAAATGACAGAGAGATATATATAACTCACTATAGTTTATCGTAATTAGACTATAGGCACCAACAATGTAAAAATTAGCTCTCACTCGATATTGCAGTACATTAGGTTCGTTCATTTAGAGCGCAGTGTGTAGAGTTTGAGGACATTTCGCAAAGTTCTGTTGGCTTCTTTTTTGTCTTTCAAATCTCCAGGTCTACTTCTGGTGACGCATTTTCACCGAGTGTCTTCGTGGGCATTTTAATATTGCCCGGCAAGGATCAGAAACTTGTTTTGATGTGTGTGTGTGTGTAAAATCCGCGTACCTACCACGAACTGAAATTGTGCGTAGTCCTAGACTCAATATCTAACCATTAATTGTAACGTCACATAAAACGCTTTATTTAAAATGTTTTTGATTCAAATAATCTTCCTAGCCTCCCTAACTTCTCTCTTTATCACGGCATTGGCCAATTTAAAGTGTTCGAACGAATTACCACCTCTCATCCCCAATTACTATCTGATGGAGAAATGCCATCGATCAAAACTCGGGATAGCTGCTAAAGCCAATTACACTTCTCTAGCCAGTTGCCAGCGTCTTGGTATTGAGAAGAAAGCTTTAGCCCTTAACTTTAGTCCACCAGAAGCTCATGAACATGGTGAGGAGTTGGAGTATACTTGTGAGGTCCTGAAATGTGCTGAAGTGGATGGAGGATTGTCGTTGGTGAATGACACGAGATATGATTTTTATAGCATATACGCGAAACCTTTACGTGAGTTACTTGCACTTAGTATCTATACGTAAGTAAACAATGAACCGAGAATTACGATAGATAATACTTATTTATTTACACTTAACGTGGTACCTACAGATTGGAATATACTTGATCTTCTTCCTGAATCTTCCGTCGCCCACTTCTGTCCTTTCTTTTGTTTTCTATCTTATCTATATTGCGATTCTACGGTATTGACCTAGGTCAATGGTCTACAGTCAATAGGTTTGTGAGTCTACGGCCAATAAATATAAAATTTATAAATATTTACAAGCTTTTGTGGTTAAAGTCTTAGGTTTCAAAGTTTGAGAATCGGACCATTTTAAGTTTAGATTTTAATTTATGAGAAATATCACTTAATTTAATTTATATTGAATTGACATTCAATTAGTTTTGTAAAATTAATCCACTAGTTCGTTTGTTAACTGCCTTCGTGGCCGAACGGTTACCATGTCGGCCTGGCACGCAAAGGTCTCAAGTTTGATTCCCGGACCGGGAGAAATATTTGTGTGGCTTACATTTATTTCTCTCGTGAGTTTGGGTGTAATTTGTGGTTGTCTATGTGTGTGTCCATGGCACCCGCGACACAGGGTTTCCCTAATGCGGGGCTATGTTGAGTATGTGCGTTATAATTATTAATACAAAGATCGAACACTTAGAAAAAACCTTCGATCCAGCCGGATTCGAACCGACGTTTTCTAGCAAAAAGCCAGGCGTCATGCCAACTAAGCCACGGAACAAAGCAGCGGACCTCACGAATTTTTCTATGTGCTTGTTTTTGTCCGATCTTTGTGTTTGGTTTTCAACAGCTTTATTATTATAAATATCACTTATTTTTCATTGGAGGTCAAATTTTGTGAGAAATCGAAGACATAAACTTCTCAGGTCACGTGAGGATCATTTAGTAGACTAGTGCTTAAACTGTAAACTTAACAGTAATATAACCTCTTATCTTCCAGCTGATGAGAATTCAACCTGTGTACCAGCAACCGGTATGTTCTCACTGCTACACAAGAAGTTAAACTACACGGAAGCGCAAGCGCTGTGCAAAAACATGACAAGCGTGCTGGCTGATGTCATGAGCGAGCAAAGAACAGATATGTTGGCAAATTTAGTGGCTGGAGCGAATATTGAAGCTGCTTTCGTAGCATTGAGGAGTTTTAATGGCAGTGCTTTCTTTAGCGCCAATGGTAAATTGAAAACTAGTACGATGAAGACATCATAACGTAATCGTAACAACGCCAAATTTCCAGAACACTGCCCTTACCATCTCAAAGAGAATTGGGATACTTGGAGTCGACACTTGGCAACGAAGTCCAGTTACGGAGTCATTTGGAGAAAAAAGCTCGGAGTGTTCAATAGAGCGAAGCAGTACGGGGAAAGGGGGGCAAGATGGGGCACTTAACGTTTGAAGCTCAATAAAACTGACAATGTTGTGTCTATATAAACTTATTTATTTTAATAATCATCTTTGAGAATCAGTCTTCAATAGTTAAGTGTTTTTAGGTACATTGGTAACTTAATTAATACGTAAAAAATCTTAAATCAGAAAAAGTAACATCACGTCATCTTGCCGCCCCCCTTGGGGTAAGATGGGGTACCCTTAAGGGGCAAGATGGGGTGTAAAATAACAATCATAATTATTACTGACAAAACTCGCATGTGAATGTAGCATCTTCATCTTCTATGCCAGCACAACTGCAATGAGCCCATTTATAGCAACCAGAACAAGCAGAAATAGCGACCACTACAATACAATCAAGGAGTATTTTCAACGTCACTGTCGCTGTTTTCCTTTAATTATATTGTTACTTTTTCTTTTTATATAATTTATAAAATGTGCGGCTAGTTTTAGCCGCACATTTTTTTCCAACTTTTTTTAATACTCTCATTTCTTTTTTCTTTTGCTTATTTTCCTCTGCAAGGTTCTTTCTTTTTGTTGTCTCTTCCAAATTTTGTTTGTATGGTGAGGAAGGAATGATTGCGATTTTCTCTCGTTTTCTAATTGTGCGAGAAGTTTTTCGTGTTGCTGGCAAGGGCATTATTTGTTGGGGACTCGCAACTAAAAATGAAGATTGTTGTGGAGTACTTGGTCGTCCGTGTATTTCTGAGTTATCGAACCAAAAAGAACATCCGGGCTAAGGATTTGGCATTTTGCAATCATTGTGGTAGGCATAGTAACAGTCATAGTTGTGGTTGCTGTAGAATTATTTACCTCAAGTCCAGAAAATGACTGGTTATTTAGTTATTTTTTAGACTCGGCAAATGATGAGAATGAAGGAATCATCTGAGGTGTTGTATCAATTGTGGTTGCAAAAGGAATGCTTTCAGGAATGTTTGGTGTAGGTTGGCTACTTAGCTCTGCTTCGGTGGAAGTAGCAGTTAAAATCGTAGGTTTATCTAAAGATGTCAATGTAGTAGTCAATTTGCTGCTAGGTGCTACTAAAGCTTCAATGGGAGGCAATCTTTGAGTTTTTGGGATATCTGTCATCAAAGAAGGTGCAAAGTCACTCTCAGAGAAGACTGTTGGGTCGTATGGCCAAATTCCGCATTTTTTTAAATCATTGACAGCTGTAGTCATTGTAGACACCTGTATAAAAGCCTTCCCAAATATTTCAGCAACTTGCCGTACTGTGATAACCATTCCTGGATTGCTGCGAAGCCAGGCTGTAATATGATGATAATACGTGCTTAACAGTCTCATATAAGCAACATCAGCGACTTGGGGACGATGAGTAGTATGTGGAGGAAAACATAAAACAATAACTCCGTCAGAGCAAGCTTCAATTATGAGATCTAAGTTTTGTGTGTGGGTACTATGTCCATCCAATAATAATAAAACAGATCGTTCAACCGTTGCTCCACTGAATTGCACGAATTTTTTAAACCATCCCAGAAATAAATCAGCTGTCATCCAGCCAGAGTCACTGCAAACTCCCCATGATCCAGGTGCTGCATTTATCATTATTTTTTCTAGGAAATACCATCACGGGTGGCATGTATTGCAAGTGGCCACTTGCACTAAAACATATTTCGACTGTGATTGTCGTACCTCTTTTGGCAGAAGTTATAGATCCTACTTGTTTTCTACCTTTTTTTGCTACTATTTTAGATTTTGTTTTGGGTACAACTGAAATTCCTGTTTTATTGCAATTATAAATTCGATCTGGTCTGGATCTGGTGTTAATTTATGTTCATCGTACACATTTCCTAAAAAAATTAAAAATTGTTCAACTACCTGTTTGTTGAACCCAGCAGCACGCGCAGCTGAGGTGCTTTCAGGTTTTCTTATTGCCAATTCGGGGTGCCTAATTAAAAAAACTTTGTGCCCAGTCTTTCCCAGCTTCTTTTTTTTTCATTGTTAAATGGATGGACTTTATTATTTTTAACCGGTAATCTATAAGCTAACCTTCTAAGCTTTACTGTAAGCCAGTAAAGCCAACTCTCCATATCTAATATATAATTGCATAATTCTTTCTCTTCGTCTGTAGTAAAAACAGGCTCTTTTGGACCTAATCGAACTTTCAATGGTTTTGTAGAAGCACTTAAATTTTCTCAAACTACCTTCACTTTTCTTTCTAAAGTGGTCTGGGGGACAGAAAATGCCTTCGCTGCCAGCATATACCCCATTGTTTCATTTACCACAGCCTCCACAGCATTTTTCATATTTTCTTCTGACCACTCTCCTCTTTTCGTTTTTCTGTTGTAAGTTTTCTCCATTGTACGAAAAAATGTCTTACACGAAAATTTTGAAAGATACTTATGACGGGCAAGATGGGGTATGAAGTACCCCATCTTGCCCTCTTAGCCAAATTTAATTTAAATAAAATTACTAACGAAAACAATACAAGACATGTCAACGAACAAGTGCTTACCTGTTGGCGTAATAATTAACACTCAACTCTAATTTTAAATCAAATTCGAAATAGTATTACTGATCCAAAGGACACGTAGTAAGTAAAACTAAAATTCAGTAGCAAATTACAAAAAAACAGTTTTTTCTTCGAAAATAGACAAAATGAGTCCGTTCACGGCTCGGTCGTTCCTGTTACTAATAGCTGTCCTGGCGGTAGGACGTCGTGCGTTAAAGCGGTTGTGATTGGTCAATTCGTTCATAGTTTAAAACTGAGTGCCCCGTCTTGCCCGCCAACCCGTCTTGCCCCCCTTTCCCCTACTTCTCTCCAGGTCACCGACTTTTGTTATATAAAATACAAGTACGGCCCAATATGGAGTATTGCTTGCATCTCTGGGCAGGAGCTCCCAAATACCAGCTTGATCCGCTTGACTCCATCAAACGTAGGGCTGTTCGTATTATCGATGATTCCAAACTCACAGACGGTATGGAGCCCCTTAGACTACGGAAAGACGTTGGTTCTCTGTGTGTGTTCTACCGTCTTTGTAATGGGGAGTGCTCTGAGGAACTTTTCGAACTGATGCCACCGTCTCGTTTCTACCATCGCACCTCCCGCCAAAGAAGTAGAATCCATCCCCACATCTTAAACCGCTGTATTCAATAGGCCTACTTTACATATATACATTTTTTTTTGTTTCTTCTGAACTAAACAGAACACGACAGTACCCATACGACAAACATTTTTTCTTTGATTGCAAAGATCTGAGGGGCATTACCCTTAGACTATGGAACTTTTATTTTTTTTCCATCCTCTAAGGGCATTACCATTTGCCATTACGATTGACAAGTCCCATAATTATGCCTGTAATTTCACCAGCACCCTTACCCTTCAAAACCGGAACACGCAAGCAGTAATGCTGACGTTACTGCTTGGCGGCAGAAATAAGTAAGGTGGCAGTACTATCCTGGACGATCTCTTACACAGGGAGCTCTACTGCTGCTAAATAATGTTCGTCTTTTCCTTTGATACTTTACAACCATGTAGGTACCTATTTTATAGCAGTAGAGCTCCTTGTAAGAGTTCGTCTACTTCGACTAAAAAAACGATCAGTTCTATTTGTCATTGAATGATGAAATGATCGACAATCGCTCTAGGATCTTCTCCTTTGGGCGGAGCTTACCAAATTCGGAATGGGTTCAATCCTGACTTTTTCAGTTTGTTGTTTAATCAGCTTTTCTGTATAAGTACATTTTAAAAGCTATGCGATGGCATCGGTTCAACATCTGTCAGTTGGCGTGGTAAAATACCCTAAGAACCGTTATTTACTTTTCGTTTTGATTTCAGGAGACTCTTTGGACTGCACCACCTACCGTGCCTGGGCACCGGGCCATCCCAGAAGGTACCGAGATAAGTTTGATTGTGTAGTTATCACACGACAAAGAACCTGGCAGTCTACTCCGTGTAAAAAGAAATATCTAGTGTTGTGTGAACTTGTTCCTGGGGGCCCATATAAAAGGGGATCTATATTTCCTAGTAAGAAACGTAATGGTAAGGGTGTCTTGCTATTAATTTAAATAAGCAATATTATATAGAGCCTTTCTAAATTTATTTAAACTTATCGAGTTCTTTATTTTCACTATTACAGACACGCAACCCACCAATGAAAACGGTGATAGTAATAAACTTTGAGTCAGAAGAATAAAATTATACAATACCTCTCGCATATAATACTTAAACAAATTGTGTTTTATTTTCTAAGTAGAAAATAAACAAATGTTAAGAAAAAACTTTGCGTAACGAAACTCTACTGTCATTTTGACTGGCGTTCACCTCCCCCTGCACTTTCTTTCACTCCACAGTTCACATCACAGTTCACTCACTCACTGATCCACTTGTTTTTCTGTGTTGTGCTGTCCACGCCTTTGTTTACATTTTTACACAATAAATATTTAAAACCTTTGAGAATTCTGACCCAAAATGGGTCAGGGCAAGAGCCAATTTACAGAAGAGGAACTTCAAGATTACGAGGTACGAGTTATTTTTACAAAAATAGTGATATTTGAAGTCAATTGGCTACGATTAAAATGGTGTCTAATTTAGCGCTTTTACGTTACAGGATCTCACATACTTCACTAAGAAAGAGGTTCTATAGTAAGTATTTTATCCAAAAACTCTACAATTAATTAATTTTTTATAATACCACGGGGCGTGGCGAACAAGTTGTGCGCCTGGTGGTAAGTAACACGCCTATCCGTAACAGTTGCAGTGCCACTCAGAGCTTTAAATCGCAAATCTGAGGAGCACTGCCACTGCGCCCGTCACCCTGAGACATAAGTTGTCTAGTCCCATGTGCCTGTAATTTCACCAGCACCCTTACCTTTCAAAACCGCTAGGCTAAGATACTTCCATGGACTAACTCTTTTACAAGGAGCTCTATTGCTACCAAAATAATTGTACTTATCAGATTTCTATGTATTATGTTGTGTTTACACGCTTCGCTGGTCACTAAATTATGTTGTATACTTTCCTACTACACTTTCCTTGATCTGGGTGTTCTGGGTTATGACCTGGATTTAATTTCTTTGCTCTTTCACTACACAGAATTACCTAGCTTCAGACCCAGTAATTAGTGTGATTGTTTAGCTGCATTATTATTATTAATGCTATTAATATTTCACAATGTACACAATTTTATTTGATTTGAAACAATTCACAATTTATTTTACATTTTTAAAGCACATATAGTGCATGAAGTGTGATAAAAGTTTTTATTTATTACAAAGCGAAACAAAACCTTAGAACTAACTACAATCCAGATTTTGTACAATACTAATAAGCAATTTTAATTTAACATAATTTCTTAACATAACTGTTAACTTACACATCCACAAAATATCTTTTAATATTAGTTAATGGAAAGACACTGTCTTCTTTCGATGGTGGAAATTTGAAATGTCGTAAGGAATATTTTGTTGTAATGAAAAATGTTCCTTATCATAATATCTTAGGACATTTTGTAGTGAGGAACATTTTCTATTACGTCAAAATATCCCTTATGACGTTTCAAATTTCCACTGTTGATATGCTCATAGCCTATTTAAAACTGGCACTAGTATTTTATTGTATATTTTTAAAATTCTTTATTTATGTAGGAGCTCTGATCAAACGGATTGAAACGACTCAACAATAAATGTACAGAAAATATAATAAGTGCCATAGTAATTGGAGTATTTAATAGTACAGGGACAATTATATCTAACCCCTATTACATTTTTCAGTGCACACCAAAAATTCAAAGCTCTAGCACCAGAAAAAGTAGGTCACAATAAGAACTCAAAGCTACCGATGGCGAAAATACTCCAGTACCCAGAATTGAGAGTAAATCCATTCAGAGATCGCATATGCAAAGTGTTCAGCTCAAGTAATGATGGGGATTGCACTTTTGAAGACTTCCTGGACATGATGTCCGTGTTTAGTGAAATGGCACCAAAGGCCGTAAAAGCTGAACATGCTTTTAGGATATTTGGTAAGTAAAGCATAGTTGTCATAATTTCATGCAATTCTTGCCTGCAATAAAATGGATCTTTATAGCAAAATTACCATCAAGTAATCTTTGTAACCGTAATGTTGTAAATTCAATTGTGTATTTGCAATAGTTCTGGAATTGTTATAGTAACGTGAAAACCTGTTGAATGGGTTATACGTACATTACCATATATGTATATTATTTATGAAAAATATTGTGTTTCGAATTTTTATTGCAATATTTCTTGTGAAAATTCATATTTTAAATTTTTCTAACACTTACATTTTATTAAGGATATGGATAGGTCGTAAGGAATTGAGGAGTCCACACAACAAGAACATGCCTGTTATATGGGATAATTATACAATTAATTTTATTAATATATATTGCAGCATTTGCTAGTTAGCATGAAGCCTAAAATTATAAATTTATAACTTACACAAATTTTATAAATGTCACTATTTTCTGAAGAAAGGTCACTGCCTGCCTGGTGATGGCAGCAAAAATGTGGATTCAGCACAATCCTAGGAAAATATAGTAGCATTAGAGCTCCTTGTGAAAGAGTTTGTCCGGGGAAGTACTGCCACCTTACATATTTTTGTGGCCAAGCAGTAATGATTCCGGTTTCAAAGGGTCAGGGTGCTGGTGCAATTACATGCACATGGGACTTGTCAACTTATGTCTCAGGGTGCGGGGCGCAGTGGCAGTGCCTCTCAGATCTTTGTGATTTGAAGCTGTGAGTGTCATTGCAACTTTGTTTTATAATACTGTGTGTCACTTAGTATGTCCCGTCAAATAGTAATTATTTTTATTTTATTCATAAAATATGTTTGCACTTTTGTCTATTTCAGATTTCGATGGCGACGACATGATAGGTGTGTCCGACTTGCGCGAAGTGATAGAGCGTCTATGTGGTCCAGAACATAAGCTGAATGAGTCCGAGATCCAGCAGTTGGTTCAGAATGTGCTGGAAGAGGCCGACTTGGATGACGATGGAGCATTGTCTTTCGCTGAGTTTGAACATATTATTGATAAGAGTTCAGATTTTTGTCAGTAAGTATAATTATAAATTTTGAACTTCCTTGAGGTTATAATAATAAGGTTCGAATTTCGAAAATTTCGTCCAGGGAAATATTGCCACCTTACATATTTCTGCCGCCAAGCAGTATCGAAAGCTAAAAAAAAAAAATAATAAAAGCTAGGGAGGGGCAGAGAGTGACCATTCTCGTTACTTTTTTAAAATCTGTAAAACCATTTCATGAAATCCGGAATTAGAAAAAATAATTCATTTTTATATTTGGTAGTTTTAACAACTCTGTGCCACTCCTTGTAACTATATCTATACATGTATCCATAGATTTGGAACACTTTATTCCAACCATTGCTCATGACACGCAGTGCCATTGACTAATTAGTATCTTTGTCTTTCAGTGCATTTAGGATAAGGTTGTGAAGTTGAATATCTGGAATTTCGGGTCAGAAAAAACATTCAAAGGTTACAAAGATTCTTCCTTTTTGTATGTTACCATAGTTTTATACATACACAAATAATTTATATTTAACAATGAAGTTTGCTTAAGGCTATAGTTTTGTAAATACTCTGAACTAATAATCTCAATTTTGAATATTCCATTTATAATGTTTATGTACTCATTTTATTTTACTTTAGCTAATTCTAACTATGTAGTGTCACAATTGTAGCATGATACCTATTATTATTGATAAAATATTATTACTAATGTATTTTAACTATTTCCAGCTAATAATTGTGTATAATAAGTTTTTTTTTTTTCAATTTCGTTGAGCTCAAATATTTAAATACTCTGCCAATTTTTAAGAAAGCTCAATTTTCTTGTAGTCTGTTTTCCTAACTTGAAATTTTACAATTTTGTTGTTTATACTCAGATTTTGTATTTCAATCTCTATTATATTTTAGACAAATTTTTGTGACAGTTCGTCATATTTTTCAAAATGTCTTCCCAATTGCGTAATAGTTAAAAATTTATTTATCTCTTTTAAGAGTTGTGAGTCTCTATTTGTACCTAATGATTTATTTATTTACAAAAGAATATTATGTCTAGATGACTTTCTTTAAAACCAATAAATTGTACGACGGCCCAAAGTTGGAACAGTACAGCTGACTTCTTGATGTCTCTGGGCAATCTTCGTGTTTTGGCTGTCATCAGATTACTATCTATTGCCCATTACACGTGCAGAACATACATGCTTAATCAATTTAGGAATATACAGAGCAGTTACTAGTCTTTATTTTGTTAACTTCTCGATATATTTATCGAGTTCTTAAGTTTTCGCGATTGTTACACAAAGGAAATGAAACAATTTTTCCGGTTTTAAATCAGTCAACCGTGACCATTGGACAAAACAAATATACGCGATTTAAATCCTGAAAAATAGTTTCATTTCTCGATATATTGTTAAAGAGTAAATATTATTAGACAAATGGAAACGCTTTTACAGTTCTATATAGTTAAAGATACTAATAATAAAGCATAATAATAAAGCATGTATAGTTCTGGATAACAATTATTATAGATGATTAATCTTATAATTTTAGTTGACATGGGTATTTGGATGCATTTAGCAATCCGAAGATTGCAGAGATTAAGAAAATAAATGTATGTGTACAATAAAATATAACACATTCTGAATGCAGCTATGTAATAAGAAAAAATAGAACCATTTTGGTTGGGCTGCTGTTCTGTTAAAGATGTTATAACTTTTATTGTAAAGAGAACAATATTTATAATAACTGTGTCGTATAATATACCAAAATAAATAAGTATAACTTCTATGAAGTTGTATTTTTATTGCTTCAGTGGGTACTTATTCCTAGTAATTGTTTTACCTATCCCTTATTGAGTTCTTTGGTTATCGCAATTGTTACACATTGGAAATTGAATTATTTTCTCTGATCTAAATTGCTTATATTTGTGTTTTCAAACAAATCCAAAGTTTCGGTCTCTACATACGGTACATGTACCATGGTCACTACTGACTGAGATGGAAAGTCTATTTTGCGTTAACATTAGACTGGTTGTTTAATATTAATGCAAAATAGTTCAAATTCTAGAATTCTTTTAAATCCAATGGTCATGGCTGACCATGGAATCAGTAAAGGGTCTGAAAAAGTTGCTTTGTTGATAAAAACACATATACGCGATTTAGATCCAAAACATAAGTTTCTTAACTTATTAAAAATAATAAGGCCCTTTTTAAATAATATACAAAATATTTATTCAACTTAATTATAGTCAAAAAGATGACAATTTGTGACTTTGCTTATAATGCAACTCGCACTAGTTCTGTAAATAACCTGGGAGCTTCATTCTCATGAAAATCCAGGTTGTAAAAAAAGACACTAAAATGCATAAGAAAGCTACAGAAATAAGTAGAATTCTATTTAGTTTCGGTGTGGAGGGGTTATGTGTACGGTCCAATATAATAAAGCCAAGCCCTCCAAGAGAGAACAAGAAGCTGGATGCAAGCCCTTCCATGATGTACTGTCCGTTGACACGGTTCGGCATGAACGCTACAGGCCGAACGTGCCCATGTTCATCAGTCGTAGATCCTACACTAGGCGGCTCCACTATCACGTCATATATAATCCCTGCAACACAAAAAACCAACTGAAGTCCAATAAGAACCCGAAAAAACAGTTTAAGGACGCGATAACGCCGAATCAAGCCCACTAACCTCCGGTAACCAAAAAATAAGACAATAGCACTAACGAGAACGTTGTCATCGCTGATGGCGCCTGTAACCATGTTGGTTTCTTAATCTTTATGTGAGGAATTTCAAGTACTGTGAACGGTAACGCGAAAATGGCTTCCATTTCGGCGTTTTATGGACAAATCGGGCAAATCTAAAATGCCTGTTGACGTTGATGACGGCGGACGCTGGCGAACGCATGCTGTCAATGTCATAGCTCCAGCAAAAGAATGTTTTCTCAGCGGAAAGAATTTAAAAAACAGCACCAGAAGTACGTTCGCACACAATCTAGTGTTAGTATAGTTAAATGACACGGACGTGTAACATTAATAGGCAAAATTTAGTTACCTAACCTTTTGTCATAAATAAACTAATTGGTTTCATTAAATTATTCGTATTTTTGAAATTATGATTTCGTATATTTTGCTTAAAACGGATCGTTTTGAGTAACAGCTGTAAATGTCGACCAATCAAATTGTAGTAACGGTCTTAAATGTCACAATGTCATTGGCGCTGAAACAAAAAAATCAATTACATATTGACAAATCCACCAATCAAATTACGTTATGTTTTATCTAGAAAGAAAATCAAATTTTAGGACTGTCAAAATTATTATTGCAAAAATGTTCAATGTCCGTCTCCTCGTTTTTATCGCTAGAACTAGCCAGCTGACTTCATTATTTAGTTATTATTATTAAAAACACGCTAGAATTTCACGTGTTAGTGGTGTAATGTGTAGTTTTTAAATTAATGCAGTCCGATCTAGTAATTAGGACGAGTGAATATGTGTAACTAATTTTACGCACAAAAATGTACTGTACTGTGGATATTTCATTAATATTACGATGAAGGGCGGGTTGTGTATTATTTACACGTCGTTGCTGACCATTTCAGTGTTGTCCAGGTTTGTAGTAACCTATAATCTAAGTCATTGTTTCTAAGCACTTTTAGAAAATTTGTCTAAGTCGGCAGATGAAATTTCATCATTTATAAAACATCTTTTTTGTATCTTTGCAGCTGTGCTCTCTTCTTATTAGTGGTGTCGGAAGCCCTACAGGCTGACACGGACATTGCAAATGTAGATTTGTCTGGACTCCACAACGTTAGTCATAAAGTAAAATCTGTTAGTGAAAATGTACCCAAATCCTCACCTGAGCCTAAGAAAATTGATCCAGTTGAGGAGACGCCACCAGATCGAGAACACGAGATGACATTTACTGAAACATTGTCCTTGAATTCTGTCACTACAGATGGGTAAGTCAATAGCACTTTTGATTGTTATAGAATTAATGAAACATGAAACAAATGTTGTTTTATTATTTCTTGTTTCATATAGGATTATTTCAAAATCCTTGTCTAGGACATTGAAATTGGCATAGTCAATTGTATCTTGTGCCTACAAAGACAAACAGTTTTTTTATGAGCGTAAAAGTTGAAGGTTTTAACTAGCTATGCAATTTTCATGCTTTTAGCATTTTGCTGCATTAATGGATCTTAAATTAGGGCTATAAATAAATTATGCACCTTTCACTACATTTCAAGAAGCCTGAAGGTGTGTTTCAGCAATTATTTATACTCAATAAGTGTAATCAATGATCAATCACGTTTTATTATTTTATCTATACAATCCTTGTTCAAATGTAACACAGAGATTTTTATAAAATGTCAAATGGAACTGCAATGCAATGGAGATCGTAGAGCGTTTCCAGCGGGATGGATCGGCCATGGCCGCGTCTTCTCTTCAAAATGCAATAACTGAGCTCAAGCTGGAATTGAACGATCGCGATCAAGAACTATTGAGGAACGATATTGAGATTGCTGGAATTCCTGAACAAAACCATGAAAGGTACATTCACCTCGCGCTGACCGTAGCAACTAAACTAGGCGTAAATCTGGAGGAACGAGACATTGTAAGTGTGGAGCGAGCGGGGCCCGTGCGTCGCATGGAAGAAGCCGGGTCGCGACCGCGCCCGCGCCCTATCGTTGTGCGGCTCGCACGCCGAGCGCACCGTGACCAACTGCTGGAGGCCGCGCGCGTGCGCCGCGGGGCTACTACTGCAGGCCTAGGGGTCGATTCTGACACGCAACGTTTCTACGTCAATGAGAGGTTGACTCGCATGAACCGGCAACTTTTCTATAAAGCGCGTGGAGAAGCCTTACGCACTCAATGGAAATATGTATGGACACGAGAAGGGAAGATTTTTGTACGCAAGGAACATGGTTCACCGCGACATCGAATACGTACTGACGATGAATTAGTTAAAATTTTTGGTCAATGATACAGTTGGTACAATTCCTTCATTGCATTTTGTTAATAGCATTTATCGCCTTGAGAGACAATTATGTTTTTAAATTTTATAATATTTTGTTTCACGTTTTTAGTTATTGTTTTCTGTTGATTCTATATTGCGCTGTACGCCGTTGCTTTGAATGCTATTTTTTGTTAAGTTCCTTTATTAGTTGTGTGTTAAAACTATTTTTTGTATTGATGAGGGTAACAATTAAGTTGTTAGTATTATATATATTTTATTCAAGGCGCTTATTATATCCCATACGACTAACTTTGCTTTCACATAGTCGTATACACAAACACATACACGTAACTGTGACTTTACATAATGGTGCACACAAACACATAATTAACACTGATTGGCGACACGTAACACTTCTTTGCAAGTTCTTAGTACATGACAAGTTTCATCAAATTTCTTTTTCCATTGTTATACAATTTAAAAAAAGCAAAGGATTGACTATCGGGCTGCTAAACGCTGGATCTCTTGGTACGCGTCATGATGAGTTCCTCGTGGCCATGGAACGTTTCAACGTTGACGTCATGGCTATCAACGAGACCTGGTTGCACGCTGGCCAGGAGGGTCGAGCGCCCGCGCCTCCCGGGTATCGCCTGCGCCATGCCCCACGTCTGGCCAATATACGCTCTCGCGGTGGTGGCGTTGGGTTCTATCTCAAACACGGTATCAATGCCCGCGTCATTACGCATCCACCTGCGCCGCCCGTGGAGCAGATGTGGTTGGGTCTTAATATTAATAATATTAAAATTACAATAGGTACAGCGTACCGCCCTCAATGGGTTAGCGTGGATGCTTTTCTCGATGCCCTGAGTGAAACTATTTCCTCACTCGGAAACTATGATTATCTTGTCCTTCTTGGGGATTTTAACATAAATCTTTTAGACGCGCAAGAACTCAAAACAATAAAATTGTCAAATTTTTTTAATTGCATGAATATTGATCAACTTGTGACGGAACCTACTCATTTCACAACGTACAGTGAAACATTAATTGACATAATTTGCTCTAATGCATGCATTGATAATGTTTCTGTTAATTATATTCCGGATCTAAGTGCTCACGCTTTTCTCACTTGTGAATTGAAAGTAAAAAAAGTTAAACTTCCGGTTAAACGTATTACCTATAGACCTTTAAAAGATATGGACCTTGTGACTTTTGACTCTGCTGTTAACTCTTTTCCATGGGAGAGCCTGGAATCTGACAATGTAAATGATATGGTTGAAGCCTTTAATAGAGAGATTTTGCATATATTCAATTCTTTTGCTCCAATAAAATCAGTTCAGATTAAAGACAGTTCACATCCTTGGATCACTCCCACAATAAAGAAAATGATGAAGTTACGGGACGAGGCTCACTCTAAGAGTAGACGTACTAAATTAGATGCACATAAAAACTTCTATAAAGATTTAAAAAACACTGTCTATTCCGCTATTCAAAGTGAGAAGTTTGCCTACTTTAGTCATCATATCAATACTATCAAAAATCCCCGCACATTGTGGATAAATATAAAAAAAATGTGGCTGATTTTAAGAAAAAAAACTGTGTGCTACCCGTTAATTTACGTAACCCAAATAATATCAATCAACATTTTCTTGATTTACCTGGTAAAGACGATATCAGCATGTCTCTGTTAAATGATTTTGAATGCAATAGATTTGGTCCTGGAATTTTAACCTTAAAACCTATTTCCGAAACGACGGTCTTTAATATTATAAAATCGCTTTCCACGAATGCCCAGGGCGACGATGGTATCAATTTAAATATGATCCTGCTAACGTTACCCCGTACTTTATCAATAATTACAACGATTATAAACAAATCCATTACTACTGGTGTTTTCCCTGAACAATGGAAAATAGCTATTGTAAAACCAATACCCAAAAACCAGAATCCTAATAAGTATGAAGATCTTCGACCTATAAGTATTCTCCCACTTCTGTCAAAAATCCTGGAGAGAGTTGTCGGTACACAGATAACAGAGTTTGCTGAGACTTATAATATTCTGCCTAAGAAACAGTCTGGTTTCAGAAAGTCCCGCAGCACCGCAACTGCTCTCATAGATGTTGTAGATAATATCTTAGCCGCACGTGATACTGGAGAAGGATCTTTGCTGGTTTTTCTGGACTTTTCACGCGCATTTGACACTATAAATGTTAGGTTGCTCTTGTCTAAGTTGGCATTTTATGGTTTCGATAATTTGACACTGAAGTGGTTTGCGAGTTACCTCTCTGGCCGTACCCAATATATCAGTGTTAATAATGAAGACGGTACTAATTCCATATCCTCGTCGATGCCTGTTACAAGGGGACTCCCGCAAGGATCAATCCTTGGTCCAGTCCTTTTTATTATGTATAGTGCGGACATCATTAAATCTATTGTAAATTGTGATTACCATATATATGCAGACGATATTCAATTATATAAATCATTTAAGCCTAGTTCCACAGTAGTGGCCGTAGCCGAATTGAACGATGATTTATGTCGAATAGCCCACTGGTGTGAATCAAATAGTCTGGTTTTAAACTCTAGTAAATCCAAGTTCATGTTATTGGGTACGCGGAGCCAAATAGACCGCATTCAGAGTCAGAATCCTCAAGTTTCTGTAAGGGGTGACAACTTGGAACGTGTGTTTGAAGCCCGTAATTTGGGTCTTCTAATGGATGAACGGTTGCATTTTGAAGGACATGTACTCGAAACTATGCGCAGCTGTTTCTATAGATTAAAGGTACTTTATAAAATCCGCAACTTTCTTAGTGTAGACATGCGAATTAAGATGTGCGATGCCCTAATTCTATCAAAATTAAATTATGCGAGCACAGTAATGGGCGGATGTCTCCTAACTCGGACGAAGAAAGTGATTCAGCGGGTCCAGAATGCCTGTGCAC